AGGTTAATGAAGTAAACCAAATTATATGGCTTTTTAATTTCTCATTCTCTCTTTTTCTCTCACTCACACATTTGTTTTAGGTTTAATTGCACCATGTTGTCAATAGTCAAACAAAGAGGGAGAAACACTTTAAAAAAGATGTGGCAGCACTATGAAAACATTGGTAATGCATTAGAAAATTTTTCTCAAAAATGTACATTTTATACAAAATAAGATTGTATTTTTGTTTGCTTTTTTGCTTTACATTTGCCATCCTAAGAATTCCCATTTCAGGTTTCCATTCTCATAATCCAAACACTATACATATTTTCTCTCAAAATAAATATACAGAATTATGTACAAGGTCGCAAGGCCCATTGGATCATTGCTAATCCACTGTGAAATAGTCACTAAAAACATCATGAAAGAGTGGGAGGGAGCATCTCAAAGCATCTGATGAGTCCCATAACCCCCCCGTCCCTAATTTAACCCCTGCCTAATTTAACTCCCCCTAATTTAACTCCAACCTAAAAAATGTGTGTGAAGACGGTTAAAATAGTGGTATAAAGGCCAGCTTGACTTAGTTTTAAACAAGGGTGAGACGTACAAAATTTTGGAAGATGCAGTTTTACTTCCAGCAGACACCAGCTAAGACCCTGCACAGGGCAGGTCCCTTCTTGGAAGACCACAGGTCCATCCCGTGAAGTCCTGCTAACACCCAGGGAAATGGCTCTGTCAGGCTGATGCCCTTGAAGGCCACATTTCCAGGACAGACATCAGAGCTGCCTGGAAAAAAAAAAAAAAAGGAGCAGACCACCAATCCATCCTTTGCTGTAAGAGGATGTTTAACTGGAGGAATTAACAAATCGTTGTCAATTGATATAGACGTTATGACAAACACTGAGTAGTCTTTTAGTAAGGGGGGAGTCTGAAAGAGGAGGACAGCATTTTACATTGGGCATGTAAAGATTTTTAAAAAAACTACATCTAGCTGTTTCTTTCATTGCTTCAGTGTCAAATGATGACTTCCATTCTCCAAATAACATCTTTTGGTAAATGAGCTATTTTAAAAGGCGCCCACCGGCGAGAGATTAATTTCTTTGTCAAAATTGGCTCTAAAAGAGAAACTGCAATCTAAAATTGATCAAATCCATTGTTTTCCAATGGAAAAGATCAAAGCTCTTGATAGCCATGCATTAGCACACCAGTGTGTTCACTATGAAATTATTACAAAGCTTAAACATTCACATCTAGAAAAAGGTATGGTAATAATTAGGGGTTCTCACAAAATAGAAAGAGGGCAAGTAAAATCTTGTGCAGGTCCAAGGGACTGCAAGGAGTGCCAGGCACTTTCTATCTTGGAAGTTTGCCCCTATTTTTGTGTTGCATTTTTCTCATGAAACCTTCCTCCTGCAGTAGATCTTATTCAAATTATAACTGGGAAGGGTTTCTTTCTCTCTTTTTTTTTCCTTTAATAAATTCAATTAAAAATTAATCAGTTCTCCCAAATTCTAATCTCTACTTTTATTCTTTTTTAATGGCATGGATCTATTCACATTCATCCACCCATCTCACCCCTGATTAAATTAAGGTCAGCAACCTTTACAAAAGGCCACATGCGTAACACTCAGTCAAGTCATCAGGCATTCAAGTACCTGTAAAGTAAAGGCTAACATAGCCTGCTGTTAATGAAAAATAATAACAGAAAAAACCTACAAGGAGTGAACCTTGTTTCAGCACCATCTGAATTGGGAAGGGAATAAAAAAAGAATAAAGAACCATTAACTTGCACCTGGGACATGACAAAAGGGTGATTTCATTCACTAAGGAAACAACACAACTCTGCCTGACACAGCTACATGTGGGAGGCTCTGCCTGCTGTCCTAGGAGTGCTGGCCAAGAACAGACACATCGAGTGTAATAGAACAAGTCTCTAAGCTGGGTCTGCTTCCCCTGGGTCCCTGGGCAGTGGACACGGAGACCAGCGGCTGTTCTCGAGACTGGCCCTGAGGCACATTCTTTCCAGGCAAGACGACTATGCCCGGGTAACATACTGCAAAGAGAAACGCTCCTACCTATCCACATCCCTTCTAGAGCTAAGCCTTCCATTGTTACTTGTTTAATTAGCAATCTGTAAACAGAAGGGGCCTCGAATCACACTCAGAGTGAGCTTTAGCACAGTCTCTTTCAGCCGCCCCAAAAAGTGACGATAACAGAATGTGAAACAGCTTAAAAGCTTGGCCTGACTCAGTGCACTCCGAAAATGGTTAGTTACTCCCTTTCTAACTAAAACCTCAACCTGTGTGCCCCCAAATGGCATTAACTAAAACCCAAGCAGAATTGTAATTCTTGTTTTTGTAAGGTCCCCTCTTTTTCCTTTCCCTCTCCCTGGCCCCTCTTGCTGGCTATAGACCAGTGACTGCTTCCCAGAGCTGCAGATGCTCTTGTGGACATGGCTGCATGCCCACCTGCACACGGGACATGAACCCCGCCGACCTCATCCAGTGTTTGGCACATTCTCCAAAAAACGAATTTAAGAAGGTCTATTCCAGTCATCGAAAGAGCTAACTGACCTCCAAGAGGAAAAGCACCATGGGAGCCACTGAGCCATTCACTCTGGAAAATCAAACCACTGGATTTCACTTTCCTCCGCAGATCGGCAAACACAGACCTGAGAGCACCAGGAAGTGAGGTTCAGGTTCTTATGAGATGAGGGCAGCTAATTAGCAGCTCACTCTACACAGACTGGAGTATATCCTGCTCCCTTTCCCTCCCTGGCCCTGCCCACCTACTGCTGCCTCTTTATACTTCTCTCCACATACTGATTTAAATCTCTAAAATGGCATTAGAAAAATCCAATAAATCACTGGACAGTTTTCCATGAGTGTAGAGAGTTAAATGGGCTCACAGAAACATCTGGTGAAGGTGGCAGAAGGTATGAGGTGAGACTTCACGGCCAGGGACTGGGAGAGCAACAGAAGTGATGGGAAAAGTGGCACCTCTTCCTTTCAGCAGCATAAGTCACTAGCCGCAGTCTCACACATGTTTTGGCAGATTCCTTTAAAGATTTGGTTCAGATTTACAAGGGCATGTGGTGATAGGACAAGGGGTAATGGTTTTAAACTGAAAGAGGGCAGGTTTAGATCAGATATTAGGAAGAAATTATTTACTATGAGGGTAGTGAGGTACTGGAACAGGTTGCCCAGAGCAGCTGTAGATACCCCATCCCTGGAGGTGTTCAAGGTCAGGTTGGATGGGGCTCTGAGCAACCTGGTCTAGTGGAAGATGTCCCTGCTCGTGGCAGGGGGGTTGGAACTAAATGATCTTTAAGATCTCTTCCAACCCAAACCATTCAATGATTCTAACACAAAATGTCAGGAAGCTGATGTTCCTGCCCTAACTCGCTGTGCTCTGTTTAAATATTGCAATACATATGCAAAGCAAAGCACTCTCTGCAAGTCTTTACATGTCAAGTTGCATACAAACATTTAGCAATGTGCACTTTGCACTTTTAAAGCAACTTTCCATTTAGGGATTCTGATCTTAACAGCAACAGAAAGCATTTAAGCTTCACAGCATTCTCTCTACAACCAGCAGCTATTACTTTTACAAAGGTGGAAACTGAGGCATGCCCTGGTTATGGGAGATGCTTAAAGCTGCATATTAAATTGGTGCCTGAGCCTGAATGAAATTGGTGAAAATTCGGGTCCAACTACTCTTCATCCCTGCTACCAGATTGCCTGTTTACAAAGGAATGAGGTATAGAAAGGCTTGCTGGTCTTCTGAGCATCGGCACTAAAACCTCTTGCTGTGACTTTAACAGAGCTCTTGGGGGTAGTAATAGTTACAGAGCACCCCAAATGCACCCCATCAAAATGTTAAGTTCAAAACATTTTTAAAGTGCTTATTTTCTAATCAAATTGGAATGGCATCTTCCTGACCCAAATGACTGCTTCTGTTTTCATACTTCAATGTAAAGAAACAAATAAATAAGCAAAGAACTACAGAGAAATAAACAATTGGAATATTTCAATTTAAAAATACTTATATTTGAAATGCTAAAACCATTTTGGAGTGGGAGCAGCACTGGTATTTCAGGGACAGGTTTTTTGTGAGTTACCTTCCCCCAAGTACACCTGGGAGTACCCACTGCTGCCAGTAACCAGTGTCTGACCATACACTTTACTTCAGGTGTCAGACCTACAAGAGGGAATTTCTCCACATATTTGCACTTCCAAAAAACAAAAAAAAAAGAAAACAAAAAAAGAGAAGGAGAAGCCCATGCTTTGACTTCAAATAAACCAGTTTGTTACAGGCCAAATTCCTGCACTGCAAGCACTAACATGCCTTCTTGTTTTCTGTGAAAACCCCTTTTGCCCTCAGAAAAAAGCTACTTCTAGAAGTTTGGCTGCCACAGCCAAGTGGCACCACTGCCCCCAGCAGCAGGGACTTGCACAAGCTCTGGGTGTCCCACATGACCATGACAACAGCTGGCCGTGCTGACTGTCCCTGGGGTGCTCAGCCACCCACGGACAGGCACACTCCGGATGCACCTCTCCAACCACAATACACACACCCAGCACTACAGCCCTGCTGTGCACACGTGTCCCTTTGTTCCATGCAACTGATTTGCTCCTCCATAATAATGCTCCTCTCTCCCTTCAATGCAAGGCTGATGGCCTTTAAAAATGGGGTCCTCAACCAGAAGGATCTACCCTCTTGTCTGGTTCCTTGGGAGTTCTCCAGTTTTCCATGTGTCCAAAGGAGTTTAGCTGCAGTGGCTGCTACTGGCTTGGGGAAAACAGGCAAAAAACTAAAAAGTCAGCAGTAAATGAGAAATGTTAATACTTCGGTTATGTCCTGCTTGTGCTCAGTTTGTTTCTGAACCTGATGCATTTTGTCTCCGTGAGATTCCAGCGTTTAACTGTGCAGGGGAAAAGGAATGAAAATTGCATTGACAATCAAATGCACGAAAGAAAGAAATGGCAGCTCTGAAATATTCACAACCAACACAATTTTGATTAAAGAAAGAACTCTGTTTTTAATAGGGTTTTTTTTTTGATCATTAAAAAAGTTTAAACCTGCATAGCAATCATTTCAAAAATAATTATTTAATGTTCCATAATGAAACTGTACACGACCTAGTCTCAGCGACAGCAGCCTGCCGGGCGGTTCGGCGCAGTCCGGAGCAGCGCACCCCGGAGCCAGGACGCCGCGTGCGGGGTCGGGCGCTTGCTGTCGGCGGCACAGTCTGGCAGGGGGCGGCTCGGCCCCCTCAGCAGCGCTCCTCAGAGTCGTTCAATGTCTCGGTACTTCTTCCTCAGGATGGAGACCTGGTCTTTAAAGAGGACAGGGTCGAGCCTCATCTGCGAGTGGATCAGCGGCATATAGCCAAACCAGCTGGCGAAAGTGTTCATGCAGCTCTGCCGCTGGGCGAAATGGTCGGGGTCGGCCCAGCGCGAGGCCCGGGATGCCTGTGTGGAGAGGAGAGCAGAGATCAGACACTGGCCATGATACAACAGGATGGTGAGAAGGACAAGTGCCATGGGAAGGCTGACACCATGGTGCCAGGCCGTGCTGGGGCTCAGGAGCGTGTGGCTCTGCGGCGGCTAAAATCTGCTCAGGGGGTTCAAACAGGGGGAAGGACACCCTGCCCACTGCAGAGCCAGCAGTGGTGAGCCAGACACCCCCAACTTTCCAAAATGAGCAGAGGGCAGTGCAGCGTGATGACCAGAGTTCAAGCACGAGCCAGCCTGATGTGGAGCATGACATCCATGAGCAGCCCTTCCATAGTTCATCACACTCTATTTCACCTTATCTCTAACTCTTCTTTCTTTCAAACGCTCCAGTTATTTCAGAGATAGAACAAGTACTTAAAAACCACTAAGAAAGATAAGAAGGTCACTGTTTTTCAGCAGAGGTGCACACCCAAGCCCAGCCCAACAGCTGCCCATGGTCTTCAGCCATAGGAAGAAAACAATTATTACAGTTTCTCAGGGTCAAAACTGCATGTTTGCAGTCTAGATCTGCAGAAATTTATACAAAAGTAATTTCAACCAGCTTTTAAGCGAGTTCAGCAGAAGCTGGCATTACTCATGTGTGTAGACATCCTGCAGAGAAAAGCAGGATGCTTCCAGGAATCCCACTGGCCAAGGCCAGTGCATCAGACAATACTGTCTCACAGATAAAGAAAATTAACTGATGTTCCACACTACATCAAGCTAAACTCTGACCCAAGGAAAAGACCCAAGGTCTTTGACTGCATACATGCAAAATATTGTGGTCTGATTTTCCAAAGTTCAGGGCAGCTATAATCCTTGTGGAAATCCATTGAAACTCAGCAGCTCTAGAAAAAAAATGTCCTGACAGCTTTAAAGATGTTGTTATTCTTTATCTGTACCTAAAGAGCATTTATAAACATAATAAAACTATTATTTAAGATAAAGTATGAATGCTGAGAGCCTAAGAATTTTTTTGTGCCACTTCCCATGCATCTCTCTATAGCACTTATGGTTCCACTATAGTTTAAAAACAAATACAAATTCATAAAGTCAAAGGATGTAAATTAAAACATGAAGAAACAGATAAAGTCAAGGACTTGCCAAATGACTGTGGTATCAAACTTGATCTTTGTCCAAGGCCTGTCCAGTTTAGCTCAAGTGGTAGGTTATAATGTGCATTGATTACAGCCTCCTGATTATACCAAGCCACTAAAGAGCAAGTAAAAGCTTGTTGCTGGAGGATTATAGCAGACATTTTGGCCATTAACAGTGAATTTCCATACGACTATTAATCTCTGTCACAACACTGAGGTTATGTTAATTTTTTATTTGTCTTTCAAGGAATTATGAACATGGTCCATTACATTTCCCAAAGCTGCAGGAACAACTTGTCTTTAGGAGAGAGTTATAGTTCATGGCTGACTCGAGTCACCCACGCTGTAGGATGAAAAATGAGTGTTCAGGCTCTGTCAAACAGCCAAAGCACAGCCCTGTGGAGAGGTGAAGCTGAAATTGGAAGCAATAGGTACTTTCTGGATGGCACCTTCTTGTTTGCAGAAGGTCTCCTGGGCACCCAGATGAGTCAGAATTGCTGAATGCTACCTATACCTCAGGTGAAAGCGCAGTGACATACAGATAAGGGAGTTTACAAACTGTCATGGTCACTCCCCAGTCAAAGATCCAAGTAACGCTAATAGGAGGAAATGTGAGGGGAAAATAGAGGGCCCTTTATTTCTCCTGCCCCCTAGTAATCATGGCACTGTTTGCAATGAGAATCACAGACACCGTGGCACCACAGATGGGAGGCTGTTCAGGACTTGCAGGTTTTGCAGGACTTCCTATTCCTCCCATTGCTCTCACACAGGGTAGGAAGACAAGTGCCCCCAGGTTACCATGTATCCCTGTTACTAGAGGTATTTCCATTTCTGTAAAGACAGAGGGTTTATCCAGTAAATGGAAGAGGATCTAAAGCAAGCATTTCATGGTTGATAGTGAGTGATGGCATGGCTGTGGGACAAAATGTTCCTTGTCGGAAAACACCGCTTACATATCACAAATTACCTCTGTTGTGACAGTCCAATGTCAGTGCTTGAATCATATTATATAATTTAAAATAGCACAGGGACAGCCTGGTACATTATATTAATTAATAATAATAAAAAATAGAAAACCTTTCTAGAATTTACTTCTGCTTCTAGCATTCCATGGCTAGGTCTTAGGTCTAGAAAACTGAATTAGAAAACTAGAGTTTAGCTGAAATTCAGTCTCCACAATCATCAGGAGTTTGGAATCACAGTGTATAACACAAGAAAACTATGAAGAGAAGCAGCATCCACAGTAGATGTTTGCCATCTTTACCTTTTCTCTCATTATAATAAGCATATCCACACCCTATTTACAGTTCTGCTAAAATAAAAACTGCAAAAAAATTTAACAGAATTGTATCACTTTGTAAACCTAACTTAGAAGCAAACCCATTATATTATCAGTTCATCCCAATTGCTAAAATATGCTGTGAATACATACCTGTCCCATCATGGTTTCCTTATATTGTTTTTTCTGTGTTACTTTGATTGGAGGCAATTTTGTCACAGCTGACACCAAAAAATTCATTAGAATGTCCTCACAATTGGCCAGTTGGTCCACCATATTCTTTAGGCTGGCAGGCAGGTAATGAGTGTACAGGTAGTGATAATATCTGGAAACCAACAGCAGAGTTATTAATACAAGTCACTGGGCTTTCAGGTACCACAAGCTCCAGGAAATTTCTATCTCAGTTCAGACACAAGTTTTTCCAGCCAACTCCCAATACACCACATCCTTTTTTAGTCTTATCCTCCAACAAGAAGGGAAAACAAATCAGTTTCTCATCAAGTCAGTGTTCATGGAGAAACAGAACATACACCTTTTTGGTAACTGGGTTGAAAGAAACAATGCAGACCTAAGCATCAAGATAAAGGACAAGCAGGAAAGAGAGCCCCATATTGCTATAACGTGACAGACAACACTGATGAATTCATCCCCCACCTTTTCTTTCCAAACTGTTCCATTGGAAAGAACTCTAGTAAAGGTGGCCTACTGCTGCTCTTACTGTTGAAATTATTCTCCTTTGGGCCTACACTATCCCTTATGGCCTGTCTTCTCCTTTGTGGGGATGTAGATTAGATACTCCAAAATTTTCCGACTTTTTCCTATTATCTAGAGAGGACTTTGGTCTGATGAAGTCCTAACCACAGGGGGTTTCTCCAACAAGCTGCAATGTGCTGAACTGTGATGCGTCCACTGTACTTCATTTCTAGAGTAGCCAGAAGACTTTGCAGTCTGCAGCTGTCAGCCAACACATACCCAGAGCTGGTCTGGAAGTAACCTCCTTTCTGCTATGCTACAGGCCATTCAGCCAAGCATCTTAATGAATTCGGGAACTCTTTGAAGTGTGTAATTCCTGATGTTAAAAAGAGCAGTCCGACTGCCTCAAAACACAAGTGACTTCAAAGAGACCCAACAAGCGCAATAATGATTACCAGATCCCCAGAGCTAAACCAAGAACTTAAATTATTACCCCATAAAAAGTAGACTTATTATCTTTCCATTTTTGACCCCCCCCCGGAAGAATGTTCTTCACACCCCACCACCCCACCCCCTCTTTACTATTTTTTGTTTCATTCAGAAGGAGGACAGCAGATGCTCCGGGTTCTTACTTGTGGTAAATAGCAGCTCCTGTCAATACCATGGAATAGTCATTAGTCCATTTGGAGGTATACCCCCACCTCTCCTTAGTGTTGTCCCAGAAGTGACTGCGTGCAGGGTACCCTACAATCCTCTCTGGAAAGCTCTGCCAAACTGTAAAGGCAAAATCCACCTGTGGACAAAGGCACAGGCCAAATGAATACCGAAACTGTTTCAACAAATGTCAACAAAACAAAATATTACCTTGCCACTAATTCACAATTCAGAATCTTGGAACTGTTGCAAAACATTAATTCTATATATTCATCAGTAAATTAAACTGACTGCTTGACATTTTGCCCTATAATTATGCACATTTTAATGGTTCCTGTTAAAGGGAGTCTAGAGCATCACAGCATTACATTAACATTTTCAAACTTGCCCTTTACATATCAAACCTTTTCAAGTTACAAAAAGAATGGGTGTAGGTGCATGTATTTATACTTCGATGCAATACCAAGAGGTAACAGCCATGTGGGAAACTGAAACTTTTGCAGGTCTTTGTGCATCTCACCTACATTTCAGCACTGTTAACATGAAGCTTGGAAAATCAGGAGTCAAATACTTTAAATTGTAAAGGTGGCTTAGTGAGATTAAAACAGGTAGTCAGTGTGGAGTCCATTTATATCTTTCATCTGCTTTGAGCGTTCTGAAGACCACGCTGGTCACACTTTTAGGAGTGTCTACGTGATCGAAAAGGTTCAACATAATTGCTTAATAAAGAGAAAGATAAGATTCCCATTTAGTTAAATGGCATCAGGAGCCTAAACTTCAAGAAAAATGCTTGATACTGTATGAGCCACAAGAGGATGCCAAATGCTGCCAGTGGTGGTTTTCTATTACATTGTCTTGCCATAACAATTTTAATAACTCGAATCTCTGAGAACTGAGACGTGACAGGACACTGCTACTCCAACATCCCACCAAACAAACCCTGGTGATACTAGTAAAGGGATGACTGTGATAGTTTGCAAAAAGCTTGTCAGCATTATATTTGAAAAGAATTTGGTAACTGCAACGAAAAGTTGGTTGGCAGTCCCCCCACTTCAGCTTAGATTTGGAGCTCAAGCTAGAACAAAATTATTTTAAAATGAGTTAAAGATGATTCTAATTGTCCTAGTCAAACCCAAGAAAATGAGAGCTTTGCTTCTGCGCTGCACATTGGGTTGCTCCAGTACCAGAGGGACCTAAAACCTTGCTCAAAAATGTTTGAAAAGTCTTCCAGGAGAGCAGCCAAAGTCAAGGGTGTAGAGGTTAGATAAAAAATAGCTGCTCTGAGAACAGTCCCATTTCGTGTTGATTACTGTCAGACTTCTCACATTTACAAGTGTTTTTATGAAACAGAAGAGTCACACATGGACTGGAACACAAAGTTAGGGACTGGATATTTTCTTTAAAGTTGTTTCAAGGAATCTGAGGCCAACTAGAAAGACAATGTGCACAAACCACTTACCGTTGTGATAGTTCTGATCAATACCACATGAAAGAACTAGAGAGTTTTTTCCCCTATAAAGGCCTTTCCCATAAAACGTGACATCTGTTTTCTTTAGAGAAGTCTGAGAATCTCAAACTAAATAAATAATAAAGCTTCTGCACTCAGTGCCCTCTCTTGTGCTTTCAACTATCTGTCCTTGTACCAGGGAGACAGACTAAAGCAACCACCCTAAGAGTAAACTGCCTTTATTAAAAAAATCCCTCAGTTCTCATCCTATATAATTTCCAGCAGCATTGCCACTCTCAGCTGATCAGCAGGAAAATCCAGCCAAGCTGCCAGTCTCTTAAACCTCCGGATCACTGACCCGTGCTGATTTCAGATTACGACTCACGCACACATCCCTCTGCGCATGTGGAACAGCTCCCGTCACAGAGCAATTACGCACTGTTCCATTGTGGATGGAAAACCTTTACTACCCCAGGGCTGGACAGTCCAGAGGATGTGCCTGGTGACTGCTCCTTTCAATGAGAATGTGACTGTATTTGACCACATTCCTAAATTGCTTTCTCTGGACCTTGAAGCACCATGAGCAGCCATTTTCAAAGGAAATGTCACACCGCATTTGCATAAGCTGTACAGTGGGGGAAGTGAAGCAATGGAGGCCCACCAGCTCTTCATGGAGAGCCACCAAGGAGAGCTGCTGACCCTGGCACCCTGGCAGAGACACGCCAAAGCTGCAAGGTGGGTGTCGGCAAGAGCTGGCCAGCTGGTTCTGTCTGCAGCACAGGGGCCATGAGCTCATAGAGCAAACAGCCACTGCACAAACACACAGGATCAACTGCAAGTTGCTCACAGGAGGGAAGAACCACAAAGAAACATGTATGTTGTCTCACAACAACAAATATTTGCATTTCAGAATGTTTAGGGTAAAACACAGCCAAGAGGAATGAGGAACGCTATTTATTTACTTCATATGTGTTCCAGAAGCTTAAATGATTCCAAAGTTTGGATGACGAGTAAGTATCAGTTAAAACAAAACAAAGCCCCAAATCCTCATGAAATTCATCATGGAATTGCTGTAAATACACCCTCAGGGCAATGAAGTCCCTGAAAGGTCTTACCATGGTCCCCAAGGCAGCTGAGACCCTTCATCCTGAGCAACAACCTGCTCAGGAACTCCAGTCCTAGGATAAATGCCTTTTACTGGGCTGTGCAGGGCTTTGCACACAAGTGCTTTGGCAGCAGCCATATTCTTTCTTATCTAGCAGAAACTATCAAGGTGTAACCTTGGTACGAAATAGGTTCAATGTCAACTATTTCTTCCATTTGTGAAGCAAAAGAGGGTTACTGTGGCTCTTTCTGGAGCAGTCTAACCACAGCACAACATCCGCACAGAGAAGAAGAGCAGTTGCAATTTCATCAATTTAGAACAAATTCAGTAACATCACAGGGTATATAGCAGTGACTGAAGATTAATGTTACACATTTCTTCACTGATATATAAGTAGTGGTAGCATCTCCACCACTGACAAAAATGTATTTTTATAAAGGTGAAGCGAGGAGAGGGGAATGGCCATGAACATGGGGGAAAAAAGGGAAAACAAAAGAAAACCGAGTTTTTCAAGCTATTCCCTGGCCATCATTAATAATGTATTTCCCAAATATTGCACTCTATATAAACTGTCATCAGTTTCCCTTGTGGTTCTCAGGAAGAGGTTCTAGAAATCAATACTCATCCCAGTTGTAAAAATTGGTTTTCTACAGTATTTTTCTTTTCGTAGTGCTATCTTGCTCTTGGCACAAACATTCAAGGACCTAAACTAGCAAAGATCTCCAATTTTATGGGCCGACACAATGGTGAAAGAACATTCCTCAGTGAAATCCTGCATTAGGGTGGCACTGCTGTCTTTTAGAGTGATAGCAGTCCCCTGCTGCTGACAACCCTTCCTTCTCCACCTACACCCTACTGATAATGTAGGGAGGGGGGAAAGCTACCCCAATCAGAAAAGTGAGAACAGAATATTAAAGCTGACTGCTCTTGGCTGCCTACACCCGCCTGCAGCTATGTTACTAAAATAATAAAGAACGGAAGAACCATATGCTAATGATGAGCCAATTAACCAGGGCGAAAAGCTCCTCTGATGGCAGGCAGTGGCAGCATTGCTGAAACAAGTGCAACACGTTAAATTTGAGGAGTGTGGCAGGAAATCTTATAACATTTACTCACTGGCAAAGCCCAGAGAAGAGCATATCTGCTGTGCTCAGGCTGAGCCCAGGAGCCAAGCAGTCTCCCAGCATGACAGAGACCCTTACCTCAGTGGTTGAAAGCACGGTGTCCTCATCCAGGCTTAGCACTGCATCTGTCACTATGTTGTCGTAGGGCAGGAAGCGACTGCTCATAACCTGTGAATATCCAAGGCAGGAAGGGGAGAAAATAAAAATCACTACTCAGTTCCAAGGTAAATACTCCATTTTATTCCTCACTCTTATTTCCTCTTGTCTGAGGTACATGGCATATTTCTGTCTGATGGAAAGGACTTTTCAGCTCAGGAGTGAAAGAGTGTCATTTTTTCACCCCAGCAGTCAGCCTACACCTTCTGTCTGAGGAGTAATTTCCGAAAAGACCTCCCTCTTTGGAGCGGGGTGCTTTCCTTTTGTGAGAAACTGCAATGGTCCATACTGAGAATTAGATGTACCTACAGCTTCTTTGGAGAGGACATTTTCCCTGGTAGCTAAGACTGTCCCTCACTGAGAAGGACTTTGCAGCATTCATAAGGCTACGCAGCTGGGAAACCAAGTAGCCCAGACTGTGTGTGAAGGATGTTACAGTACCAGGATGGTGCAACATTCCCTGTCAAAAAAGGAGAACATGCTATAGAACACATGTATCGAGTTTTATTTGCATCAAGAATTATATAGGTGTTGTAGCTTTTTAAAAAGTTGCATTCTAAGTGATCCTCCAGTACCTGAAGGGAGCCCACAAGAAAGATGGAGTGACAGGACAAGGAGGAATGGCTTCAAACCGACAGAGAGTAAGTTTAGGTTAGATATTAAGAAAAAATCTTTACTGTGAGGGTAGTGAGGCACTGAAACAGGTTGCCCAGAGAAGCTGTAGATGCCCCATCCCTGGAAGTGTTCATGGCCAGGCTGGATGGAGCTCTGAGCAACCTGGTCTAGTGTGAGAGGTGTCCCTGCCCATGGCAGGCAGGTTGGCACTAGATGATCTTTAAGGTCCTCTCCAACCCAAACCATTCTATACATATAAAACCTATATGCAGTATAAGCTTTGGAAAGATATGGTAGCATGGTCCTCAAAGTAACAGGAAATAGATGGGAAAGCTGGATCAAAAAGATAATAGTAAGAAATTAAAATCTACATGGTTTCTTTAGCAGACTAATTAGCACCTTTGGAAAGCTGATGTAACAAGGACACAACATGATTTTTTTCCCCTCATTTGCTAGGAAAAATAGTCTGGCTAGTCACTAGACTTCTTTTCCTATTCATTAAGCCAAAAAACACTACGAAAGTCAAGACCAGTAAGAGGAAATCACTATATGGAAACAGAGACATGGAGGAGTTTTACACATCTCTCATAATGGACATTGTCAGTTCTGCATCCCCTGCAACATGTTTGGGAGCAAGTCTTCAGAATCTATGCCTTGATTCAGAGAAAGCTCTCTCCATAATCAGGATGTTCATAATGTCTATCTGGAGAGTATCTCTTCATTGCTACAATGGCCTTGTTCTGGGGAGGCGGTGGCTGGTACGAGATCTGGCTGAGGTTGATGGTTTTGCTTTGCTTACACTAAGGCAAAGCAGAGCAAACAGCCGGCAGGAGACCTGCATTCTCACCTCTGATCTTTTACAGACCATGTGAAATTGTCAAATAGTACAGCAGTCGGGACTAGCCATGTATTTGTTTCATAGCTAAAGCTACCTTTTGTAAAATGGGTGTGATAGTATCTCTTGATTTCATGGGGAAGAGTTAAGGTTAGGTAAAGGCAGACCTCTGCGATCACCCGCACGGAGTAATGTGCCTGCCAGTATGTTTCAGTTAAGTCTGGAGATGAAAAGCAGTTCCTTTATGAAACCTTTAAATTGCACTGCTCTGGCTCTACAAGCTTTGTCCAAACAAACAGCTTTCCACGCATGAAGCCATTTGGCATACGTTGGGATATTAGAGGGAAGAGACTGTCCAGTATAAACACACCTTTGTGTACTCAGGAGACTCACTTGGAATCTAAACAGTGCCTGGGGCCAATTTCTACAAACACTGTAGAACTGGTCAGAGATTTTCTCCTCTATCTCACATCTGCAAGTTTTACAAAAAGAAAATAAAAAAAAAAAACAGAACAATCAAAAGCTCAGAAATCACCATAGCCTTTCTTGGCCCTGCAGCAACTCTCCTGATACTGTTTACATGGCTAGCTAAGGTGAGAGCCTTTAGCTGCCAACTTTGCAGGGCTCTCTCTCTCCCCTTGTTAAGGTGACAGGGGGAAAAGACCAAAGAGAGGATTATAAATTCAAAATAGGATTGTACAGCCAAAGCAACTTAAAGTTTCCTTTGCCAATGCAGAGCTCAAGAGCCAGCTGACAGCGACTGCAGAGGGGACCAGCCCAAATCTGTTTCAGAGTCTCGAGGCAAGTCTTGCTTCTCTCATTGTAAAGGAATAATCCACATCAGTGTGGATTTTAAAAACCCATTCTTTTCCCATCTGATGCTGTCTGTTTTGACTTTGTGAAAGTACAAACAAATGTGTGTTGCACAGCAAGAGATGATGTGGTGATTTTGCTCCCACACCTGTCCCATGTCCCTTGTCCCTTCCTTTTTTTTTGATGGTAAGACCCCATCACTGGCATCAGTACCCCACAAGACCATAAGAAAAGGCACTTTTCAAAGGCTAGTTCTCATCTTTTCCTCTGCTTTTGAGTTCACAGCTGACCCCCAAGTCTTGCATCTGACTGCTCAGACTCAATGCTGAAGCTGCATCACTACCTTCGTGCACTTGCAGAGAGGCAGAAATCTCCACAGATGGGATCAGCACTACCTACTCTCGGGACCACATTTCAAAACTGGGTCCCATCTGTGAATCTCAGATTCAAGGCATTAATTGCCATGATGATGACTTCTGTGAGCACAGGGCTCATGCATGAAACACAAATCTGTGACCAAGCTGGTACAAAAGGCTAAGGAATAGAAAGGAGCTGTCACATAGTTGGGAACTACGAAGCTTTCACCAAAGCAGTCAGAAAAATAAATTCTTATCTCATCGGAGAATATAGGCAGCATTTTACTGTGCTTCCCTCCACCTACCTTGCTCTCTCCTTCGATAACTATGACAGGCACAGAAGTGGCAGGCCAGCGGTGTTTGGCTGGGAGAGGTTTATCACAATTCCATAAAACAATAATCTGAAAGAGAGTATTGGACCATGATCAGAGACCTTTGTGGCAATGCAGTCCAAACACTAAGGTCCCAGATCTCCAGACAGACATGTTAAATTCAAATCAGGAATTTCAAAATCAAAAACAATGGTACAAATATGTACAAAAGTAACGCTTCCTACAGTAATTTCACCCAACCTGATTACTTACAATATACATCCTCTCAGGCAAATATAGACCAGACAGGAACTTGGGAAGTCTTTGTCTCGGCCAGGTCATACGGATGTCACTGATTTATTTTGGCTCTCTTAAAAGGCAAAACCACTTGTGACACTCCACTGCAAGAGGGTGCTCCTACTGAACTCCCCAGGGTTTCTTTTAGAGAAGCCAAAATCCTGGCACTGATAAGTCTAAGAGCCACAGCAGGAGGAAGGAAGATCACACAGCAGCTCTTGAGGCACAGACATCCTTTTGCAGCTTGCAGCACATACAATGTTGATCTTTAAAGTGCAGTCATTATTTTACCTGTCTCATGTAACAAAAGGGTTTAATTACTATCTCTATTCCACTCCCATTATACTCAGAACTTTTGTTTCCCATGCATGTAGGTCACAGATAGCAGAAATCTCGGAGGAAAGAAACATCAGAATTGAAACAGGGCTGAATCACCAGGCTCTTCATTCCTGGTAGGGTGGGTTTTCTCTGTTGGGACTGACAGCCAAACAGTGCTGCTTACCTGTGCACAGTACTGGGACTTGGCTACAGCAACCAGGAGTTTCAGCACAGGCTGAGATTGGGAAACCAGGGGAGTTACTGCATGGATAACGGCAGTGAATGTGGAAAGAGGCTTCAGACCTGAAGTGAAGAGATACATACGTGTTCAGTAAAGACAAAACCGCCCCAGTTAGTACAGATTAAAGGACTCCAGAGATGGAAAAAACAATGTGCACTTAATGTAAACCTTGCCATGTTTCTTTAGGCCATGTTCCTTCATCTCAGATACTAGGATACCAGATGAGGAGATCACACTTCCTGTTAACTCCCACACCCTCTGAAATACCTGACTCCAAGACACTTACTGCCTTTTCTTACTCACTATTTCCAGAGATGTCCTGCAATCTCTTTCTTCCATCCAGTTTGTCCCACAGATAATACTGACATCTAGTTTGTTCAGTCAAATGTCCTTCTTGACACAGGCTCTGTTTTACTGCCTGGCTCTGGATGCTCAGTGTTTTCTACAGAATATCTCCATAACTTCCAGAAGCTTGTTCAGTTTCCTCAGTTCCATTACAGTCTCTGACAGATTTTTGCTCTTTCTGGGTTGATTCCCCTCCACATGCATCATCGATTACCTCCTGAGCTGATAATTCTGCTTGCCTTCCATTCTGATATTTTTGTCTCACTGTGATTTCCTTTTCTGCCTGAAATAACAGATCCCACTGGTGTCTATCCTTCATTAACGCTCTCAACCTCATCTAAATTCATCTGTGAGGGGTCACAGTCATTTTTCATCAAAATTATCACAGAAACCTTCTTCCCCCCTTTTGTTAAAATTTTGTTAAATTCACAGTAACTGTGAATTTTTAGTAGGTGAGCAGTACAGATCCACAGAAGTGGGATGGCACAGGCTGAGCCAAAAGTAGCAGCAGTCTGGTAAGCAGGATCACTTCAGCCTTTCAGCCTGTAGGCACATTTGCCTGCAGAACTCATTGTTCAAGCTCTGCTCCAGGAAAAAGCCATGAACCTAAGCCCTATTCATTCCTTCTAGTGGGATCCATATGAAGACATGTCATATGGAGAATAAATCCATACCAACTGTGCACTCCAATAACAAGTGTCATGGGTAAATTACCACTTTTCCAATTTGCCAAGCACGAATAAACAAAGAAAGGAAAAAGCTACTCCTCTTATGTCCCCTCAGGCCATGAATGCATCAGCAACTCAGGCATTCATTACCAGCAACTGAAAAGTATGAAGGGACATAGATTTTAAAAAAAAAAAAATCTTTGCAAGGGAGAGACATATGATGCATGTTGATGAGTCAGAGACATTCCAGTCTACAGTAGGCAGGGAAGAAGGACTGAGACAGGATAAACGAAAGGCACCATTAACTATAAACAAATGGCAAGTCACTTGGCACATGCTACTCAAAGACTAAATTTCAAATTTCCACTAGAAATTCCAAATGCTACTACATTATAGCAAGGATTCACTCACCAAGATTAGCATAGTAGTAAGGAAAGTCTCCCAGATATGAGGAATACTGTGGCAGTACAAATAACCCTCCAGGATGTTTGTTCCATATTAAGCTGTTACGTGATATGTGCTTAAATATTCTGTCCTGAATAATCTGGAAAACAAGAGAAGTAATAATTTTTAAATAGACTATCATAGTCACTAGTAGAAGCTTCAGGGACTCCAGTTGACTAGAATCATCACCCATTTTGCAAAAAGCTGAGGCACACAAATTACTAGACATTCTTCCTTGATCTCTCTTAAAAGAACTCAAAACCGGAACACTCTTGACACCACTTCAGCAGCTCAGGCTGTGTGCCATAGGTTTCAGAACATCTCATTAGTCTCTGTGGACGTGGGGACCACGCAATTTATAGCATTTTATATTTCAAGTCAAATATTTTGTCTATTAAGAGTATCTTAGCAGTTGTAAGCCTGATTAGTTCATTGTCAGTTTTACTACCCAGAACTCACAGATGATAATTATTTGAAGATGGCATTACACAGCTAGGTATTATTTGGAGATAATGAGAGCATTCAAAACCACAAAGACTTGCAGCAAATCAGGCAGCACTAATTATAAGGTTTTGCTTAATTATAAAGGGATATTAGCATTCAGATACATTGCTGATTCCACGTCTCAGTTCTGCAATAGTTCCTTGTTGGATGAAGCAGAAAAAGATCTTTTGGCAACTACTGTCTGTCTCTGTAGAGGGCCACAAACATAGATTCCTAGGCTTTTAAGGTCAGAACAGATTGCTAGATCATCTACTTCATCATCTAGAATACCACAAGCCAAAAAAAAAAAAAGTACAAGGCCATACAATTCATACAATTAATATGTATTTATGAAACTAATTACAGTTGCTTCACATCAGATGTCTGATTGCAAGAACCAGAGTGGTTCTTACACTGATGGGAATTTTTTTAAACTTTTTGCAAAGAGATAACAAGATTCAGTGGTGGGAAGCTATAACAGAACAAGTTCAGCCTCCACATGAGTGCAACTTTTTAAGTGCAGTAGGCTCTTGAGCCACATGTTCTTACAGATTTGCCTTCCCTCAGAGCATAAGAAGCTGCCAGGTCTGGACATGGGACACTGCAAAGGGCCAGGAGGTGGTGAAGAATGAATTTTCTCCCAGGCTGGCTAAGGAATGCCTTGCCTTCTTCTGCAGCTCGTCTTCCGTGATGTCCCAATGTTTCACTTAACTGGCAGTTTATGCAGTGCACAGGGCTCAAGTGCCAAGAACATGTTGGTCGCTTAACCTAACATGTCTGGCCTTAACATAGGCGTATCTGGGTGAAATTTCATGTGTCTGAAGCTGGAGTGAAGTGTAAGAAAACCAAAAGCAAGCAAAAAGACTCACCACAAACAACAAAAAAGCAGCTGCTGGAGTCTAACCAAGCTCAAAACTCTGTAAGCTGCTGAGTTCAGGGACATTTGGTCAATACAGAACATGAATAAGTGTTGCCACAAGCAGTGGTTTTCCTGGAATTTTTGATTGCCATGACAAGAAAAGATTAAAACACCAGTTACATTGTGCTAGACAATCCACTGCTGGTGGTAATATACGTACTGCTAAACTGGGGCAGATGTTGAGTGCATGCTTGTCTGAATTTTGCCTACAGCCAATTACCATAGCTAATATGCAGTAATTCACTCACATGAGTGAGTTAATTTAACTTTTTTCTTTTTTTTTTGAATAACAGACTTAGGACTGTAGTTTCATCACTGACAAGAATGTACCTGAATATTTCTGTTTGGTAAGTTAGGTATATCAGTTGTCAGATCTCCCACATGGCAGTGGGGAGAGGAAAAACCACAGACAATGACTGCTGTTTGCCCATCTGCAAGTTATGCCACTAAACAAAGACAGAACCTAGAAAGTACATATTTTTGAGTGTTTACCACAAAGCCTAAACACTACAGCTCCTCCCTCTTGCTTTCTCAGAACTGGGGCACAGTCAGATCAGGAGAAGTCTGTGAATTTACATGGTCAGGAGGTTTTCACAGACAGTAGAGTTTTCCACTAGCTGGTAGCCAACAAGGCTGCAGGGGAAACACATGGCTCCTGTTCAGTGCTGCCTCAGTGCGCCTGAAGCCAGCACAGCTCCAAGGGGGAGCAGGGCCCCAGTGCCATGGAGCACACACAGCCTGCAGTGCATGTGAGGCACACAAACCTCTCCAATGTGGTCCTGCTCCAGGCTCAGGAGCTGGCCTTGATGGTTCATCACAGTTAACAAACAGATCACTAATTTATCATTCTCCTGATCCATAAGAAACCTGTCTGTCAGGATAGAGAGGACAAAAGACAACTTGGCAGAAAGAGAAAAGTGTAAAAAAGGATAACATGGAGGACCAAGGAATTAAAATATAGAGTATACAGTGTTGCACATGTTGCAGAGAAGACAGCAACTACATGGTTTCTCCAATGATGAGGCATGACAGGAAGTTTAATAAGTGAAGAAAGGGGTTAGGATCTCTGGCAAGATCTCCCTTTTCTTTTTGGAATGCACTAACAGTCCAATATTTTTGTCTCCCTCATCCTCACACTTCAAAAAGTTCACATATTGCCTTAATCATAGCTGCTTTTCGAAGTGTCCCAGCCAAGCATCCAATATTTCTTGTCTGTACTTTGTGCTGTCTCTTTCCACTCCTCTTCCTGAGCCGAGGGCTGAGCACACTGTGCATGGATGCAGGGATGTTTTGGGTTTGCTTTTGGAGAAGACCAGGCTGAAAAAGTGCAGACACCCTGGAGCATGGACGGTGTCTGCAGCAACACAGCACTCCCACTCACCAGCCTGCAATAGACACTCGTGAGTATCGTTTCCTATCCCACACCATGTCCAAGGCACTGGGCAGTTCCTCTGTGACTGCAATAGGGGGTTGCTGGCCAAATTATTCAAACCTCTTGTTTTGGACTATGAGCTCTTTGGCTTAGGCCACCAAATGTTGTGAGAAGATCAAGGGCCTTAAAATGTGACTTAAGGTTTCCACAGGTATGCATGATAAAGGACTGTGATGTCCTTGCAGACATCTGAGTTGATGAAGATTTTTTCTGTGCTGATATCCTCAGACATGGACATACACTGGCACTGCAGTTAGCAGGCAAGTGATTATTCAGATGATATCTAGAATCATCAGAGCACTCTGACACAACAGTGTCAGAGAGAAGATGGACCACATCTACCAGAAAAAAATAATCCTGCTAGGAATTTACTTCCAGACATCAGATTTTAAGAAGACGATATACTGCTTGCAGGTTTCAGACACCAAAAACTGCTCTCAACTCTTTTACTCCTTTCCTAGGGAAAGTTAACTCAGGACTTTACTTAGGCAAGTTGAAATGTGAAATTAATATCTGTTCATAAGAACAGAGTCCCTTTTAGCTGTCTCAAGAAACTGAGAGTCCCGAATTAAAAAACAATCAAAAAAATCTCAAACCAAAACTACACTTGCAAACAAATGAAAAAGCCCTGAACATAACTTCAAGACCAGGCATACATTAATTGGTTTCATTAAACTAAACATTTCAGGAAGCCTTTCAGGAAGTTTTTTGTCTTTTAGTTTTTGCACTCTGAGCAGAATCTCCAGCTTGCTGGTTACCCATCTGCTTCAGCTTTACAGGTTTTGCTGCCCCTTGGAGTCACGCAGCCACATGGGCCAATGGGTTCCAAAGCGGCACTAAAGACACATCTGTGAGCGCTGGAACTTGATTCAATGCACACCAAGGCTGTGGGGGCTGCAGGTTACGCCCCCTTGAGACCAGCCCCAGTACAGGCAGGGGAAGGGCAATGGGGAGAGCAGTGTGCCCCTGTCCTTTTAGCAATCCCTAACGATAACAGAGCGATGCAGGGAAGGGGCAGACGATGTGTGAGGCACCTGATGGTCCCTGGGAGCACTTCTGTAAGGGCTAATTAGACTGCAAGCTATGGCACACGGTCCTCGGCTTTGTGAGTGTGATCCTGGTGTGGGCTGTGATAATTATCACCACCTCATCAGTGGCTTATGAAGAGTTTGAGGATGCAGAGCAGTTCCCAACAGGCAGCACAGATGAAGACATGCTCTTCTGAGGGTGAGGGAGCATTGTGAGGACAGCTATGCCAGGGCCTCTGCAAATGTTCCCTGGCTGCTTTTCTTCACTGGCACAGAAAAACCTAAGGGACTGTCTTGCAGCAGCTGGAGATAGATCAGCCATGGGCAACCTGTACTGCAGACAGAAGCACTCATTTGCAGTTTTCAGGGGAAAGTAGGCACAGTGGGAAATGTGGAGCTTTACAACTGTGCATTACAACTGTGCATTACAACTGTGCACAAAGATGGATGGTATTGCAGAAGCATTAGCATAAGACGAGTGCATTTGCCCCTACAAAGTGAATCTTTTTCAGTGGTAGAAGTGTGTCAGAAATTTATGTGAAAAATTGGAAAACAATTAGAAAAGAAACCTGCATTTGAAATTGCAGCCTAGGCCCTACTTCTAAAGAGCCTTTCATCTTTCCTCTGCCTCTGAATTCAGAAAGGATTCTCTCCACATTTGAGATCATCTGTCTCCCCCTCTAATAGCAGTCTAATTATGATTATTTATTAATAATTTATAAGGATGATCAGGCCTTTCCTTTATCCTGCGTGTGAAGATAAGACCCAGCATTTACAAGCCCCCCTTTTTCCTTGAGCCAGACCAATAGCCCCATCACAAGGCATCAAAATGTTAAGGAATGGTCAAGGAGGAGCTCCATGGTAATATTTTTTCCAAAATGAATTCCAGAAGGGTTTCTTAAGAAATACATTCACTACCAATGACAAGGATAGTGATTCATAAGCCATAAAGCCTTGCTAAGTCAAGATCACACATGACAACTTTTCCATGTGTTGGGTAGCTCCCATTTTTCACTGTGTCAGTTTTCTAATGTGGATTCCGATAATGAAGAAAGTATTTCCTTAGGGGGGAAAACTCATCAAGATGCCGAGCTTTTTTCCCAGTGACATGTCATGAAAACCAAGGTCTGACACCAGCTGAGGACAGAAGCAGCTGGACAGGTACAGAAATCTCACTGCTTAGCAAGGTCCCAGATAATTTTTACTCACCTCTAGTGTAGTCAATACAATCTTCTCAACTGAAGAAAAATAAGCCTCCCACAAGAACTGTGTCTGCTGTCTAAGTGCTAGGATTTTATCCTGATGGATAGACCTGATTGTAGAAGGAATCTGTAACACAAGATGCAATATAGTCAGAAGCTTTAGAAACAACACAATCTCATCAAATTAATATGCTGCTGACAAGTCCTCTCCTCTATTAGTGAGCTGCACAGCTTCAGCACTCCTGTCCAACAGAGATGTGTGTCGACAGTTAAAGGCTTGATGTAAAATGAATGAGACACAACCCTTTATAACCTCTGGCATTGAATATATGATTTTTCTTTTTAAATCTGCTTTCTTTTAGTTTTTGGCTGTTTTATGGTAAAAAGCTGCCCCCCCGCAGCGTTGTGGTGTGGCACAGTAAGGAGCTCCTCCATACACTCCTCATGCTTTTAATCCCACGAAGCTCTTTGTGGACTAGTATTTTAACAACCTAGTACCTGCAGGTCTTGAGAGTTCAACAATAATCCCCACATTCAAAGTATATTAAAGGGATCTGGAATTGCATTTACCACAGCATGGCAACGCTACGTGCTGTAAAGAAAACATAGCAACATCTCAAGTAAGACTCCACTTTTTGGGAGCCTGTGGATCAAACTGCATTTTACTAATTACCGAAGGTGGAAAGAATAACATCTTCCACAACACCTGTTATTCACAAGGGAAAACAGTGCTTATTTTTCCCCCCTTTCCATTAAATCCACATATTAATTGTGGTATAAATTGCCTTACAAATAAACCCCAAATTGTCTTTCTGCAGTGCTTTTCCTTTAAAAAATGTAACTGCTCACTAGATGAGAAGGCAAGGGCTTTATGTCTACATCCTTCCCTATCCCCACGTCCTTCTTCCACACTGGAGTGAAACTAATGTACATACATGCCATGCTTTAACTTAGGACTTTAACCAAGGCCTCCAGTACCCCACTTGGACAACACAAACTGACATTACCAAGGGAATTTCACTACAATTGGCTACTCACAGCAGCAAAAAGGCATAGAGGAAATGTTGCTGATTTGTGTTCATTTTTTCTAGCAATGAAGAGTTGTGCTTTTACACCTACATTTTTTTTGATTTCTAAATGGAATCATAGATTTGTTTAGGTTGGAAAAAACCTCTAAGATCATCAAGTCCCACCGTTAAAATAGACCATCTTTTTCTCAGACACTCATTTTTCATAAATCTTTTACCTGAGTCATTAGCTGTAAAAGCATATACCTGGGTTGTGTGTTGGTTCTTGTGTATCCCAGCTTATTCTGAAGTTTGCCTGCAACCCACCACATCCTATTCTTTCCCACATTTTGCTTATTCCTAAAATATTCTGAGATGTGGAAGTGATCACTATTTGCTTTCACATGTTCTTGAATCAAATGATTTCACATGAAACCTTTTTCCTGAAGAAAATTTGATATTTTAAGAATTTATATGTAAAAAATTTTCACAAGAATCAGCAAATTCTTTACTGCAGAGTTTGTAACCAGGTATGGACACTTTGTTCATGGCTCCATTGGGTGCAATGTTAGATGAAACATCTTTGCTCTCTCAGCCCTTCAACTATTAGATGACCATCTTAGAGACACTGCTAATGCAATACAGCTTATGAGAGACTTAGCACTGCAGCAAGCTGGAGCAGAAGAAAAAGGTCAGATTGTTGAATATGCTACTTTACATTCCTTTGCTACCGACCCTTTAAGTAAAATATAGGTCTTTAGGTAAAATATTCCCTGCAAAACTAGTATGGAAGACAGAAGTTGGAAACATGTTTTTCTAAGTGATCACATCACTGTTTGTGATGTGTCCCAATAAGTAGAGGGATAATGAACATTACCTGTACTGGCCGCATAGATGTGTATTAACCATACCCAGGAACATTATCAGCAGCAAAGACAAGATTAACGTCACTTCAGAGTGGCACTACAGCATTTTTTCAATAAACTTAAAATTTCATTGCAATATGTGCAACCTTGGGTCTGTGTGTGTATGTGTGTAAGCAACAAACAAAATCAATACTCATTCCCAACTATACCTTTTGAAAGGGAAGGCTGCTCAGACTGTGAAGGTTACTGCAAGAAGTTATGATTTTACACACCACACCACGTTTGTGAGTGCCAGCAAACACGGTGTCAAGGTTAAAAAAGGCCTTGGTGTGGGCTCTGTTACAACAGCTGGAAAGAAAAATCAGAGCTCCTATTTTAACTGCATTTGCCTATTAGTTTTAATCTACTTGTCCAGAAAGACAGGTGGGCAAAATGATGTATTAATACTAATCTGGCATGATTACACTGGAATTATTAGAACCTTAATAAAAGGTCATTTCAGCAATGAGTAGGGGGGAGGGAAAAACCACCCTGCACAAATAAATGCAGAAAGGCTGGATTAAGCTCTCCCAGCACTATGATGAGGAGAATATGCAAATAAAAACATCCGAGTTGCTCTCAAACAGGAAATGAAAAACTGTAACATAACAAAAACATTTCCCAGAGCAGACATTCAGGCCCTCTGCCAGCTCTTTAAAAACACTGTTAATAACGGTGCAGTAGTTGTTCAGTATGGAAGCAGCTGTGAAGTGAACGAATGGCATGTTACCGGAAAGCACGAAGATCAGAAAATTATTATTATTTAGAGACATAATTTTGCTCAGAAAAATGTGCTGTCCACAGAAGCAAAAATCAAATGGCCCTTTTATATTTGTAGCTTGTATCACATTAAATAGAATAAGTAACACTTTGCAAGGCTTGCAAGGCCAGTTCTTCACAAATATTTACTTCCTGAGACAAGTTAAGAGGCATGAATCGAGATTTTCAAAGATACTTTGTTTTGGGGGTGCCACCTTTGAGGGCTTCTCTCTGTGGATGACACTAAACTCAATGATAAATAAAACTCTTAGTGGCTATTTAGTGGTTATTCAGTGGTTATTCCAGATCTTGTGGTACTCAGCTTCATGCTGGGTAATGGAGATTTATCAAATGCTACTTTGGGGAAAACAGTTTTTCAAGAACTTCTCCTAACATCAACTTCTCCACATACCTTACAGAAAATATATATATATATATATATATATATATACACACTATAAAACCCACTAAGGTAGCTGAAAAAAATAAACCTAGTGAATTTAAAACCAAAGTAGATGTTGAAGGGAGCAGGGAATGTGTAACTTCTCAGCCCACTTTTGTTCTATGATCTCAAGATTAATGATAAGTGACATGAACACTGCTTCAGAAAGCAATGTTCCACACATCAGAACAGGGACAGATGCAACTTCCCACCAAACTGTTGCGTGATAATTCCTGCCTGAGAAAATATCTGCTTTCCTGAGGATTCCCAGTGCTGTGGGACACCTGAGGATAAACTATTTCTGAAGGACTGGAGCAGAACCCTCCCTGAATCATTCTGTCTTTCATCACAGCACCTGGGACCAGGACAGCTCTGTCTCAGATTGGCATCCGAGTGCTCCACACCAGAAGAGATTTCATGCTCTTTGCAAAAATAAAAGTTTAGGAGTGCTTTTAAGAGTGTGGCCTGGTGTCTGCAATGACCTTCAGGTCAAAAAATGAATGATGTCATATTAAATGAGTTCACAGCCCGGTGTGACACAGACAATCCCTTCATGATAAAAATTCCTTTATAGCCCTGACCTTTTGGATTCATCTTCCCTGTCCATTTAGATGGTGGCAGCAATAATCACCTGATCTGCTGAAGGCCGTGGTCTTTTCCTTACCTGTAATAACAATCTCTCATCGCCTATGATGGCAGCTTGGTTCCAATCAATCACTTCTGAGAACGGCAACTCCCATCCATTGCTGAGCATGACTGGGACACAGGCGGCCTGCAGGGACACAGAGCAGGGTGGTTACCTGACGTTTTCACCAACACCATGACCCCTGTTTTCTGCACAAGCTCAGGAGAGGCAACACGGCAAAGAACACCAGAAGCCAGAATCCACAGGAGGGCAGCCCAAGGGATTATGGTTTTCCATTTTACGCTTATTCATATGCACTGAAAGGTGGGCTTTGCATGGAGAGTGGAGTTTGCAATCTAGTGCTTACACTGCCAGACAAGGGCAGAACTGTTAAATGCTGTAGACATAACACTAGAGAATTTAATAAAAAATCATGACCCCCCCTTGCTGCTTTGTGAACCATTCAGCAGGGAGCAACTCCCCTAATTTTTATATTATGTTGCTATGCAACTCTACAGAAAATACAGGTCATATTTAATTCTAGAGCACCTTTCCCAGAAGGGAGGAGTGAAATCCCTATCCTTTATGATATCAACCCTCCAAACAGAGGCAACTGCACAAACATAACTCATCTGTCATCATCTGTCTACAAAAATAAAAATTGCTTTATGTCTTAAACAAAAAGCATATACATTTAATATCTATTTCATACCAGCATGATCTGTCTAACCTATTTAATCTTCTAAGAGTTGCACAAGTTCCTCTGTACAGAGAGTTTGTAAATATTTAGTAAATAGGTCAGTATTTCCATAAACAAATGATCACTACTAGGTTCTGGTCAGCTCAATCACAAGGTAAGATCCAAACCAAAAATCTCCTGATGTGATGAAAGAAACTAGTACCAGAGGATTTGTATCAAGCCTGTGCTCTGTTTCAGTTTCTTTTGGATCAAGCTAAGCTTAAGATCTCTGAGTTTGGTCCAGACCTCTCCTCATCTCCCAAAAGACTGCTGTACCTTCCTTGGTAACATGTATCACACACAGCATCTTAGACTGGTCAAGTCTCCATTACAGGAGTGCTTATCCTATGTAAAGAACTGTGACCTTCTGTAAGGAAATTACATCAGTGCATGAAAAAAATCAACCAGAAAACACTCAGCAATGTGTTTTCATGTTTAAAACATTCCACTAATGTGGATCAGGCCTTTCAACATGCCCTGGATCCAGATAGAAATTGGGAATCCATCATAATTGGTGAATACTGCTGGTAGCCTGCTAGGAAAATCCTTGGTGTGTGCATTTTATCATTGAGCCGGAGCCTCCAAGTTCTGTACAGTGAGGTATGGTCCCTGTTTTCTCCTCCTGAGATGATGTATCTAACAGCAGCTGCATGACTTGGGGACTAGATGAGAGAAGAGTTGATCAGTGCCCTTCTGAAAGACCTGAAGTGACATGTCATCCCATATAAGCCAGTCTCACTTCTTCCTCCAGAGACTGGAGAGGGAATAGCTCTTTGCAGGTTATAAATCTCCTCCTGAGTAGGAAGAAGAGGTAAGTGACAGTCCTAAACTTGGATCCCAAACCTGATAGTAGGTGCTGGCTTCAGTGGTTAAACCCAAGTGTCCAGAGCATCCATAGTACCCAAGAAACCTATCAAAGGCTGGAAGATATGATACAGGATCTACTGGAGACCTTCTGGAGAAGCAGCAGAAATGCAGAAGGTTTTCTGGAAGTTACCTTTCTGGGCTTCTAAAATGACATCACATACCTACACTTAGGTAGCTGAATCCTGCTCTGCATTGCAGTAAACAGTACTATTAGAGAGTATGTCTGGGACATTTTGTGGTTAATGAAGAAAAGGGATGTGATGACAGCTTTACTGTCAATGCTGGGATACTTCCCAAATGGCAGAAGAACTCCCAGAGGCAGGACCCTGTAAGGTGTCTTCTTTAGTCAGATTTGCTGTCTCACTAAAACCAAGAAGTGCCTCAGCATCTCCTTCTCTCCACTTCAGCCCCCATGGCAATCCAGATGCCAGTCCTAGATGCAACCATGCTCTGTATGGTTGACTGAAGATCCAGGATCCCAGGCTGAGCTGAATCTTGCCAAAAAGAAAAGTCACACTACCTGCAGCTGGAGTAGGCCAGTGTCAGGCTTGATCACTGTGCTGCCAGGCACACTGCCACAGTGACTCCAGAACCCTTTGGCATTGCCTTCTGCTGCTGGCCCACAGCAAAAAAGGGAGACCACTAACCAAAATGTTTTTAAAAGTTGAAGGGGATTCATGTGCACTCCCTGACATCAGCCTATATCCACCTTCGTGTAAAGCTTCCATCTGCAGCTTTACCCCCTCCAGGCCACCTTCTGCATGTTCAGTAAGTACCATCTCAAAACTGGCAACGCATAAGCAGGTCTGTTTTGGCATAAGTGAAAACAAAAAGCTATTTTTGCTGCCCTGGGGCTTACTTGTAAAGGTCAGTGTCTCCCATGGGAAGTCTCACAGCTTGATAAAATACTGCTCGAAACCGGTCCAACCTCTCAGTCTCACCACATCCAGGGAAACCCTCCTCCCGGAGGTAACGCAATTCAACCTTCAGATGAGCTCAGTGCTCAGACCCTCCTGGGAAGAAGCTGCCAATTGCTCCAGAAGTATGAATAGAGGCTTTCGCAAAGTGGATTACTGTCCACCAGGGAAATGAAACACATTTCCCTCCTCCCCACCTCCTTGCTATTGCACACCGAATTGCAGCCAGTGTAGCCATTGCTTTAAACTGCAGCTCTTACCTGCAAGGCTTCCAGAAACCTGAAAGAGCCAAGCCTGCGGCCACGGGGAACCAGACAGAAAGTGGCATTGTGCAGCATTTCACGGTAATCATACCTAACAAGAACAGGGGAGAAAAGAGAAAATTCAATTAGTGGTGAGTCCTAGAGTAACTGGGCATGAAAATGCAAACAGCTGCTGAAACAGACACATCTGGATAAAATCATCCCCAACCAAGACTGTTCACTACCAGGTTAACTAGCTCCATCCCTGCATGTGTGTCAGCCATCACCCTGGCTCCTTTTTGTTCATCCTCAAGAGCAACCACCATGGGAGAGAGCTGGGGAGACTGGTAATGAAACTGATAAGGAAGGAAATAATTTTGCCTTTGCAATAATGAGCCATTTCCAAATAAACAGTCTTGCATGACTTCTAACAACAAACATCAAATGTTTTGATACCTAAAGCATTGTTGTGGCACTTCTGTGACCCTGATTTCTATTCAGATTTAGTCAAAGTCATGCAGAACTGTGTTCATGGCTGCACAAGAGGTTTGTACAAAGCAAAAAAATTTCAAACTATGCCAAAGAAATCTTCTCTTATCAAGCAGGCATTAAAAAGGCATGGGGGTTTACAATGACTCACTTGGTGGTTATTGTTAAGAGTGGTGAGAGGGATAAACTGCCAAATTTTGGCAATTAACCACATAGTTGCAATGACTCCTTCTCCTCTGAATGAAAGTGCTCATAGACACTTTTGGGGTTTTTTTTTTCAATTCCATCAATCACTGCAAAACCATTCACAAAAAACACACATCAAATCCTAACAGTTTCCAGGCTGTTATTAGCTAATTGTACTTCTGGCAAACCAACCCATGAACTGTGAATGGCATCAACCTTGTCTGAGTCAAAAGGATCCAGACTGAACACCCTCTGTTCTCCAGAAGGTCCTGGACCCTGCAGATAGATGTTATTTTGACAGCAACTTGCAGCACTGAAATCTTCTAACACTAATAATGTAATTTACCATGGCCTGCAGGCAGAGCAGTTTTTTTCTACGTGTGTCTGTGTATGTATATACATACGTACATGATTATATTCTATATACAAAGAAGTTGGGATCTCCATTTGTATTCTCACACAGGCCAGACAGATGGGAGTAAGCCAATTTTCAATTATAAGCTCTGTCTTTAGGAAGAGATGTCTTGCAAAGGCCCATTTGCTTAAACAAGCGTGTATAGCTAATTTGCACAAGAAAAGGTCACTGTGAATGGATTAAGATTATCTCCACTGAGAGTAAAATAAAAACCCTCATTGCATTAATTAAAACTACAAAACAGACTTCAAAGTCCCTTTTTATTTTTTAAATTCTATCTCAACTTTGATTAAAATACATATATACATATTCCATCTGAGTGGCAATTTCTTTTTCTTTGTGTGGGATAGAGATTAGCAGCCATGTCCCAGCTCACCAGTCAGCACTGACACAGCACACAGGTGAAAAATCTTAGGAAACTGGAATACCAAAAAAAAAAAAAAAAAAAGTTGCCATTTTTAAGCATTCCTTTTTCACATATCGAAAGGTCTGAGGCTCATTGCTTTTGCTGTATATTGTATGACAGAAAATGTTAATAAATACCAAAAATAGAATACCCCGTAAGGCTAGAATACACCAGTCAGAAGTTCCCCATCATTAGCTTGCTAAAAATGTAAAATCCTATTAATATCCCAGAATGCAATATTATCCACAAAACATTGATGGCAAAACCAGAGTACAAAGAAATGCAGAGAGCAAGGCCACTGCAAGTGAGTCCTCCATATCCCAGGGACATCCTATATTGGGCACCTTTTCTTTCATATCTAACTTGCTGATATTAGGATAGTTATACAAAAGGAAAAAAAGGAAAAGGATTTTGTTGACCGTTTTCCACCTGGAAACCAGTTAGCATCTTGCTCCCATTTGTGCCTTTTAAAACTTAAGATGTGATTTATTGTTGAGCTGTGTAATAGCACAGTTCATGGTCATCAAGCAATTTATCTACATCATACGAACACAGAAAGCCTCATCCTAATCTTGACATATTAGCACAAAATTTCCCAAAAATTTACTGACTTCAGGGAGAACCCACAAATACAAAAGGAGCACATCCAGACTAAAGCAATATCCATCAAGAACTGCTGCAGTGAATGAACCACACCAGAGATTCTTCTATTGAACAAATTTCCCTGCAATTTCAACCAAAATGCCTTAAGGTGACTCAACAGGATCTTTGAGCGCAGTGATAAGGGATCAATTTTCAGTTTAATCCCCTCAAAGACGAATCCAAGATCAAGCATCTATTTGAAATCCATGAACACACGGAGCTACTTTTACTCCTACTCGTTCATGGGTAGTGTGCAAAGCAACGAGGGTACCCTGCCTTAGGTGGAAGACAGAAGATTGACCAGTATGTTTACATATTAATTTGGAAACACCTTTTACACAACACGTGCAGCCAGTCACAAATACAAAACCATCTCTGTCAAGATGCAAGCACTTGACAGACTGTAATTTGAAGCGTTCCTTCTGGAGGAAATAATTTACATGTACCAAACAGCATCTCAGAGTAGAGCTTGCAGCAGAGAGCGTTTCATATTTTTCTCAGACTGCCAGGCAGCATTTGGAGGAGACCTTGGCCACAAAAATGTCACCAGGCAAATGAAACTCCAGCCCACAGGCCATGGCGGGGACAGAAGGTGTCAAGGCAACTTTCAGTTTCAGACTTCTCATCTGGCTCAGTAGGAATCACACACACAACAGGAGGTTTGAGTTTTGTCAGGCTGTTTGAGTTTTGTCAGGCTTTTGTCAGGAAGATAAAATTGTTTATGTATGATTGGCAATTTTTTTCCACATAGAAAGCAAACGGCATATACCTAGAAGCATCTCTGCACTTCCCTTAACTCTGACTTCAAATACTTTCAATGAAGTCAGTGAGATAATCTCTATGATTAAAGGTAGATATCATAGTTAAATCTTTGCTGGACTTGAAATTTCTCCTTCACTTGATCAGGAGAGCTGGCACAGACTTCCAGGAACACCCTCTCATCTAGAGTACTGACGTTGTACATTAAGCACGGACCTGGTATCTACTGCAAATATCAGTATCACATCAGCAACAGGCTTGATTTCCCCACCATCTCCACTGACTAACCTGAACAAGACCTCAGGGAGGCAATGAAGTATTATAACCCCACTTGGGACTGGTGAAGGGGCCTTAAGCTATAGAGAAAATAGTCAAGTGTTTAGAGGAGGTTGTTGCAGAGCCTCCTCTTATTCTTCTCCCCTGGCAATGGGGGTTAGATCTGTTTTCAGAACTACTTATTTCCATCAGCTGGTAATATCTGAAGATGGAAGGGACATTTGTTACAGTCTTCCAGCTTGCATTGCTGTGGTGTGGGGACAGCTCTGCATTACCTGCCTATCCAGACACTCTGGTTTTACTCAGTTATGGAGCTTTTTCAGGGTGAGGAATCAGAAAAAAGGCCAGCACCACAGAGCACTGCACAGGCAACCAGCCAGACACTTCTTCCTTTCTTGTGCTGCTTCAGTATTGCAGTACTTTGGGCACTTTCCTTTCCTTTCGGCAGCTAATCTTCCCAAGCATTTAGTGTAGAAAATCTTTGAGAGGAGCTTTTGAGAGGAGTTCTCTGCTTTGTTCAGAGGGTATTTATTTCCAGAAAGCTCCAGGTTTCCACATTAGAAGACTGTGGGGAGTGGGGGCACATGCTTATTGCTCATATATTCCTGATTCCTTCATTCTGCACGCTTGCACAGAGGTAACATTTTACTGCCAATTTTAGGGTTGGTTTGGCCTGGGTCTCAGCTGCAGCATTCAAACATGTTAAAATCCAAAATGCATACGCCTTCAAAATGACAGTTGGGTCTTCAAAACTAAAATAGCTACAGATTTAAACCAAAGCTGGCATCCCTCTGCAAGTATCAGCATCATGCTTTATTAACTTTCAGGCTTCCTTTTGTAATGATTAAGTGTACCTTGTTCACAGCTAATACCTTTATAGGTAGGATAAAAGAATAGCTCTATTTGTAATCAATTCTAATTTATTCACAACTTAATTGAATTATCCCCTCCCTCTTACCACCCATAGTTGAGAAAACATGTTTAGCCCCATCTATCACACAGGTGTAAACACTGCAATGCCGTGTGGGAAATTATCTGAAGGAGAAACTCTGCTCAGCCAAATGTTCTTACCACTTTAACTTCTTGATCCAACACATAGCTTCTGTCTTTCCCCATCCCCCTTCTTTTTTTTTTCCCTTTCTGATGTGCCGACCTTGTCAATCAGCACATGGATTAGAGGGCTGCTTGGGATTCCTGGTTCTCCATTATCCCAAGCAGCCCGGGCAGGCTGCAGAGGCTCTACAGTGACTAATCAGCCATGCCATACATTCCTTCTTACAGCTTAAGCATTTCCCCATGTCTCTATACTTTAGAGATTATAAACTAGCCTGGGAAACATTTTCATTACCAATTTTAATATAAACTATTTTTTTGAAAGCCACATCGTCATCACTGTTGATTGAAAAGAGGTCTAAAGAGATGTTGGCTGTTTAGACCAGCAGATACGTCCAGATGCAATGATTATGATACTTTATCCAGCTCTATGCCACTTGTCACGTAGGGTCCATCTATTCTTATCTAATCCTCTGAACACAGATATGGGATACCATCACCATTCCCTTTTCATAGATAGAAAACTTGAGATACAGATGACTGGTGGCTTCTCCAGCAGCTAAGCAGACCTTGGGAATCCTAAGCATCCTACCTGCCTCCTTCCTCTCTGGTGATGCAGCATTCACTGAAAACTAGGTACATATTATGGCTATCAAAATTCAGATGGAAATACAGGAGCAGAACCCAAGCCAAATACAACAGGTTTAACCCAAATCAAATGCAATGGGTTTAACTCAGCAGTACGTATTTTGACACACATAATGCCACACATAATCCATCTTTTGGAAGATACTGGACCTCCTCTTTGGCAGGGATTATCAGCACATACCGCTGTAGATGTCAGATGTGACGAGAGCTGTTTTTTAATTTCCTGAGCCAAAAAATT